TCACTTTAATGTAGTCACAATTATCAGTTTTTTCTTCATGGTTTGTTCACCCCATTTTACAGATGCAGAAACTGAGACCCACACAAGGGAAGTGACTTCCCAACTTGCTACCAATTAGAGACACGGCTAAGACTCCTCTTTCTCACTCCTGTCCACCCCTCCATCCTCTACTTTCTCAACTCACTCAAGAATCTGCCCCCTTGCCAAATCCTCCGCTGGGCCTGATTTCACCCTCTCCTTCCTCCCAGCACCGAGATGCCTAATCCACCCCCCCGCCAAGGCAATCTTCAGCAAGGCTACCTGAGTATCCAGCCTGGTGATAGGAGCTGTGGGGCTGGTGAGAAGAGGCAGAGGCCGTGTTCCTAACTTTAGGGTGCTCAGGCTGTCTAGGGCATTATCAGTCTCAGGCTGTCAGACTGAGTCACCAGGAGCAAGGAGTAGGCAAGCATGGGAACAGGGCTGGGCCCTGGACCTGCACTAGGACAGGAATATGGAGATGGTCATGGCTCAGGGAAATAATCCATTGAACACCTCTCACACCACCTCTCACACTCCTGAAGATGTAAGTACCCAGCTCAGTGAATTGTTACAGAGAACACACCCATGTAACCTGAACCCAGATAAAGAAACAAAGTGTTAGCAGCAGCACCCCATAGCTCCCTTCTTGATTCCTTCTAGTTACCCCAAGGCTAAATGCAGCCCTGTCTCCTAACACCACGATGAGCCTGTTTTGGAGCTTTATGTAGATGAAATCTTACAGCATACACACTTCCATGTCAGGATTCTTTTGCTCATCATATTATCAGTGAGGTTCATCCATGTGGTTGCATTCAGGTGTAGAACATCCATTCTCATTGCTGTACTAACATTTGCTAGTGTGATTATACTGCAATGTATTTATCCATTCACCTGTTGATAGACTATTTGGGTCATTTCCAATATTGGGCTAATAAGAACAGTGCTGCCATGCATAGTCTTGTTTTTTGGCCCACATATGCATATTTCTGCACATGTGTAATTTCCACATATTTCTGTGGAATTTCTGGGTCATAAAGTACGTGATACTTAGCTCTAGTAGACATTGCCAAATACTTTTCCAAAGTGCTTGATTATGCTGAGTTATGCTGGCACCAGCAGTGGCCGAGGTCCTGCTCATACCACACCCCCCTGAACGATCGCAATCCTTTCAGTTTGAGAAGATAGGTGTTTGTGGAACAGGCTGGCATCAGATTGCCTGCATTTGAATCCCAGTTCTCTTCTTACCGTGTGACCCTCAGCAAAGCCTGTTTCCTTTTCTACAAAATGGGTTGAAAATCATGGGGCTGTTGTGAAGATCCCATGGACCTGTTAGGTGGTAAGTGCTCCACAAACGTTAGGTATTTATCTCTATTCTCACTAAAACCCTCTGGATCACTTCATCTCTTAGAGCCTCAGCGTCCCCTTCTTAAAATGGTGATGAAAACATTTCATACCCGCATAGTTGAGAATAATATATAAAAGTGCGTTTTTTTTATTGTTGTATGATGTACACATAAAATTTACCGTTTTTCAGTAGTGCTCAGTATACTCACAGAGTTGTGCAACCATCACCACTATCTAATTCCAAAACCTTTTTATCACTCCAAAAAGAAACTCCATATCCATAATCAGTCCCTCCCCATTCCCCCACCCCCAACCCCTGGCAATTACTAATCAACTTGCTATCTCTATGGATATTAAAAATGCTGAATATTGGCTTTTCCGTATCTTTTTAACTTTTGCAAAAGTGAAAATTAAATACCTAGCACGGGGAGAGGCATATGATATGCACTTGTATGACTTTTTTGTATGTGTGTGGGTGGATGGATAGAGCGCGCCTAGTAGATAGACGTACTATAAACTCATTCGTTCACCAGGTACACATTTGCACATTTGCACTTGAGAAAGAAATGGGCGATACAGAGAAATAAGATGTGATTCTTGCTTCCAGGAAATTTGCCATCTAGTGGGAAAGAAAAGCACGTGCACCACTCACTGTGAGCGCTGAGCAGAATCAACTGAGTTTGTATTGGAACAAGGGTTGTGGGAACTCAGAGATATTAACCTG